CCCCAAAACCCCAAAACCCCAAAACCCCATGAGTGATAGAAATTTCAATTGTAAAAAGATAAAATTATATTAATCTAATAAAAAAATAAATGCATAGTTAAAAACCAGTTTAGAACAAAATATTGCAGAGGAAATGGCGAGAGCAGGACCAAACAGTTCATGTCAAAAGGCTGTTTGATATGAAGTCGAGTCTAAATATCACAGCCCCTCACAGATATAAGCATTTGGATAGCAAGCCTAAAAAGTATCAACTACAAGAAGGTATGTAAATACATACGAATCACCATTAATATCAATGCCAAGAATCATTCAATAACTTTGTCATATCATATTTTATTCAAATTCAACTATAGATAGATTTACCGAGATTGAAAGAGAAAATAGGCTTTTACTTGAGAAAATGACTACTATTATGACAGCAAAACCTTAGAATAGTTGTAAGCATTTTGCAATAATCTATTTTATTGCAAATTAGAAACAAGCAGGTCTATAGTGTTAAGATCATTTCATAACAGGAATAATTTTGCCCCAAACTCTGGAAAAAGTAACAGGTCAAGGCATTCTTTTTCTCAGAGCTCACAACACTCGAACAGATCGCTGTCAAGTCATTCCAATAAGAGTCTTAACTACGTTAAGCGGAAAAGAGATCATGACAAGATTGAGAATGAGAATATCAGCATATTAAAGCGATTGAGAGATAGGAAGGCAACTTATAATGCAGTGCAGTGGGAGCGAGATAACTAGAAGAGACAGCAGCGATTGTTCAACATAGCTGAATTCCCAAGACCACTAGAGCTGCCTTAAATCTAAGTAAATCAATGCAAGATATAAATTTTTATTTAGGCTGTGAAGGGTAAAAAGGGATAAATGAAACTGAAAATTGTAAATAAAAAGAGTACTAATCTTATGATGTTCAATAGCAGTAAGCCTAATCTAAAATCAAGACAGATACCAGTAAATAGGTATAATAAACTTAGTATGGATCATCCACCTGTTTATAAGAGACATCAGAAAAGATACAGGAGTACAGGAAATCCAAACTACGCAATAAGACAAAGTGAATTCCTTAATTCATCTTTAAATCAGCCTATGACAAGTCTTAATGATTCAGATTTTTTCAAATCAAGAGATGGTGGCACTTCTCTAACCAAAAGAGCAGCTAAAATCAGATTCCCTTCAACAACAAAGAATGACCTTAGGCCTCTTAACTTGACAGCTCGGACATAATCAAGTCTTCCTAGTAGTGAGTAACTTAGATTCCAGTACACAGCTGAAGTCAACATAAAACGTGTATAGGACTAACAACCACTTATGGAATTGGAAGAGAAATCACAAAAGTACAATGTAACTATAAAGTTAATAAATCGCAAAAACACTCAGATGCTCATCAAAGCCATGCTTTAAGACGGCAGTGGTGACTATTTTGACATTGTGATTGATGGCAAGGACAAGGTTCAGAACATGATCAAGCACTTCAATTACAGTTACAAACTCATTACTGAGCATTTAAGAATCATGAACAATAGAATGATTCTTATCAATCCTGTAAGTCAAATTTACTCTCCTTTTTAAACCTATTTTAGTAAGCAGTCAAAAAGGATACCATATCTACTACTCGAGACAACTCGAATAATCATGCTTAGACTATGGATCATATAGATTTCACTAATACAAGTACAGACCAACAATAAATGGATTGATCATTTTATTAGTTAGCGACAAAAATCTATCTTTAATATACTTCTAAATTAATGTTTAATGTTTTTAATGGTGGGGTTTTGGGGTTTTGGGGTTTTGGGG